CACCCGATTAGCCGTATACAATATCTTATACTCCTTTCCTTAAGTGTATTTTTCAAGCACTGACGGATCGATGAAGAGCGGGACGGGGGGGGGGGGGGGGGAGGGGACGGGAGGGTTGTTATACAAATTTTACTTCTTCTCTCTGTTAAAAGACGCTTTGCTTATTATTGTATTGCTGAAATAACTATTCTCACCCTGTCGACTGTGCTATGAAACTTTTAGTTTTGGCGGCTGTTCGAAAACAAACGACATTGCGCTGTCTCTGGTGATCATCGATTTTATCTGATGACATAAAATTCGTTGTGACTTGACGTGTGGTCACGTTGCCGATTTCGTGGCTAGCATTGCATTCATTTCCATTTCTCCATAGATGGACTTGGTGCAAGCTGACCAGCGATTCGCACCGCGCAACATTAAAAGCATCCGCTAAAAATCGTCTTCACCTCCGACCAATTTTTTAAATATGCTCAAACCTCTTACAAACATCAAAATACTGCTATTGAGATTCATATTGTCTAAAATATACAAATATTCCATAGACGCGGTGAGCGTTATTTATTTTCAAAGCCGAAGACCCCAATCATAGACCCTGGTCCTTTATTTTTTTTGTAGAACCATCATCTGAGGATAGTGCACCTATAAACTGTTTCACTGATACGTTACAATCGTTCAGATACATGCGTAGCGAAGTGTGTGGCGGGCCTTAGCTTCCGCCTTGATTTATGTAAGCCTTTATACGTCGAACAATGCGTTGCGGTATTTATATTGCTGACAAATTGCAGTCGAGTTCCTGGCGATGTTCCTCGACTGAACCCGGCCACTTTTTGTACTCCAGCGATTACAATTCTGCTTACTAATTACTGGATAAAAACACCGCTCCCGTTCGATGGTAGCGCAGAGTTAATTTTCGCCACCAGACAAGTTTTTATCGACGACGAAAACGGAAACGGAATGGATTCCTATTAAAGTTTACGATGCATTTACACCTAAGGCACAGCTTATTCGCAAAAAAGTTGGGGTTCAGATCTATAATAGTTGTCGGTCAGATAACAAGTCTGTTAAACATCGCCAGTTACGAGTACCAGACACATTTCAATCTTGGGTCATTAACGAATTTTGAAATTATTTTAACTACGTTGTTTTAACATTTCTCTTTATTGCGTATTAACGTCTTAACCAACTAAATGATTGATTGGAATCACCCATTAACTAATTAATTAATTAGCTAACTAGTTAACTAACTAATCTGTTAATTAATCTGCAAGTTCTCAGTTCCGGATTTATCTTATAGGCTACTAGATGTCCACTAGCATCGTATAGAACCTTCACTAAGTGAGGATGTAGTAATTAACTAATTAGTTAACAAAAAACTTGACTGACTAGTAGATTAACTGGCCTGAAATCATAAACCTACCAAACCTCAATGTGCTACTGACCTTATCCAGTCACTGGCTTCCCTCGAGCATCGACTTCAATATACATTAAGAAGGTGTCCCAATTACCTAACTAATTAATCAGTTAATCAATTAATATGAAACCCTGATCCTACCAAACCTCAATGTGCTACTGACCTTATCCAGTCACTGGCTTCCCTCGAGCATCGTCTTCAATATACATTAAGAATGTGTCCCAATTACCTAACTAATTAATCAGTTAATCAATTAATATGAAACCCTGATCCTACCAAATCTCAGTGTAAGGTTGATCCAATTTGTCCATTGGATCTCTTAGGGTATGTTTATCGTGAGCTACCACTACGTACGGCTACCCTGACTAGCTAATTAATTATCTAACTAATTAACAAACTAATCGACTAACTAATCATAATGCCAATATCAGCGTGGAAATAATCTGAATCGTCCCGAACTCTCATCAAGTGGGGGTATTTCAATTAACTAATTAATCATTTTAGGAATCGGCTAACTAATCAATACGAAAGTACGAACTTATCAAACCTCAATGTGAGTTTGAGATGATTCGGCATCTGAATCCCTAAACCAAATAGTCCGTAAATATGAGCCTACCAAATATGTGCGAGATTGATCTGATTAGGCCACGTGATGCCTTCAAGCCTTTTTAATTAACACTTGATCAGACAATTAATTAATTAACTAATTGATCGATTACATAACTAATTCACGGATCATCTTAACGTATAAACGGATCAAATCTGAGCGTGAGATTCGGCCACTGGCTTCCCTGGAGCATCGTCTTGAGTACTTATCCCAATTAATTGACTAATTAATTAGCTAATCAATAATATGGAAGCCGGAACCAAACCAAAGCTCAGAGTAAATTTGATCTGATTTACCCTTTTGGATCCGTTAGGGTATTATCGTGAGCGTGACCGTAATTAATTAATTAACTAACTAATTGACCAACTAATCGACGATCTAATTATAATGAAAGTGTCAGCAAAAAAGCATAAGATTAAGCTGAATGGGACACTATATCTCTTCGAGCATCGTCTCGATCTCTTATCAAGTGAGAGTATTTCAATTAACTTATTGATTAGACTAATCGACTAACTAATCAATACGAAAGTACAAACGTACCAAACCTCAGTGTGAGATCGAAACGATTCGACCTCAGTATCCCTTTGAGCATCATCTCCTACTACTAACTGGTAGGGAGGACCCAATTAGCTAATCAATTAATTAAATGATTGATTAATCATTCTATAAACTAATTAGTGAACCTACCAAATCGATTAACCAATTAATCGATTACATAGCTAATTAACGGATCATCTTAGAGTATAATCGTATCAAACCTGAGCGTGAGATCGACTTCATTAGGCCACTGGCTTCCCTCAAGCATCGTGTTGGAGTACTTATCCCAATTAACTAACTAATTAATTAGCTAATCAATAATATGGAAGCCGGAACCAAACCAAAGCTCAGAGTAAATTTGATCTGATTTACCCTTTTGGATCCGTTAGGGTATTATTGTAAGCGTGAGCGTAACTAATTAATTAACTAACTAATTGACAAACTAATCTAATTATAATGAAAGTGTCAGCAAAAAAGCATGAGATTAAGCTGAATGGGACACTATATCTCCTCGAGCATCGTTTCGAACTCTTATCAAGTGAGAGTATTTCAATTAGCTTATTAATCATTAGACTAATCGACTAACTAATCAATACGAAAGTACAAACGTACCAAACCTCAGTGTGAGATCGTAACGATTCGGCCTCGGTATCCCTTTGAGCATCATCTCCTACTACTAACTGGTAGGGAGGACCCAATTAGCTAATCAATTAACTAAATGATTGATTAATCATTCTATAAACTAATTAGTGAACCTACCAAATCTGATTAGGTTTCTGTGCATACTTCCGTTTTTAATCAACCAAATGGTCAAGTAATTAATCGATTAACTAATTAATCGATTACATAGCCAATTGACGGATCATCTTAGAGAGTATATACCTACCAAACCTGAGCGTGAGGTTGACCTGGTTGGGCCACTGGATCCCCTCGAGCATGGTCTCCGACTGCCACCAAGTGGGACTGTCCTGATTATGCCTGTCGGTCAAGTAGCGCGCTTGGTGCTGCCCGGCGACGCATACGTCGCACAATTTGGTACCGGCCACTCCCGTTTGTTCGCAGTATTCCGTTGGTCCGTTGTCACCGCAGGTATTGGTCGCTTCCATCTGGAGACCGAAAGCAACGTTCTCGAATTCGGGCTTGCAACGCTATAACAGAAATTTTAGCTGATCAACTAGCTAGGTGATTAATTTCCCACATCGGAATCGAATAGAGAAAAAAGGTTTACACCCGACATTGGACATAAGGTCAAGTGACCTTCAAGGCCATTTCAAGGTCGAACAATACATTATACCCTTTATAAAAAAAGGCGTGCGACATTTCTTTTCCAATAAAAAACAATTTTGATAGGTTCTTTTCTCGCTTGTTGGTACCGCCAGTGTAGTTAACTTCCGAAAGTGTGCCTCTGTTGCGGATCATGTCTTGGGATTTTGCTTGCTATTGAAGAGTCATATATCAAAATGAGTAGAAAACGGAGACACACAGACACGGCTACAATATTGATATATTTATAGACCGATGGATAAAATAACAAGCGGAAAAGGATCGGTGAACCTTCCAAGTGCCGGGAGTCATATATCCGGTTCTAAATATACTACTTACATTAAGAATAAATAAAATCGTTACTATTTTTATGTACGATATTAAATTCGTAAAGCGGGCATGGAAATTTGGGGCATCTCTTAGATGCCAACGAAGAATTCTGGAAGAATCATGATCCACGCACCCGATTTACACAAAAAACGAAATTTGGTTGAGACAATTATTATTTCTGTTCAAAGATTTCCGTAAAAAACACCCTGTAGCTTCTAAACGACTGAGCATATTTTGGGCTACTACGAAACAGATATTCTTGGGCTAAAAACTTTAAAATGTTTGAAGTTTTGTTAGTTTCACATGTGGTCTGTAGATGGCGTTTTTCGACCATCCGTCAGAAATGGTTAATTTTCTCGAACAAGCCAAATGCATTGGTATGACTTTTTTATGAACATGCAGCTAAATAATGTTCGAGCAAGTCTGCGAAAACCGCATCTCGATATGTTGTTTCCTAACCTAAAATTTATATATTTATTTAATTTTCAGTCTACTTGACGCTACTTTTTTTCAGCGTATGGTACTGATTATGGTGTACCCCGTACTTCCTCTGCAATTACCTATCCTATAAAGTATCGATATTAACTACTATTCAGTCCGTTAGAAGTTTTATCGCCTAGTATATAAACTGATGTAAATTTACAGTCCGAAAAGGAAACCCGGACGTTTCCTGATATTAACGTCAACTGTATTCAACTCGGTCGCTGTTAACTGCTTCGGTCATAATCTTGAGAGGATGTCTGGACGCCCAACCTCATATAAATTTGCCGGGGAAGAAAATACGCGGAAATACGAGCAAAGTGCAGGTCAAGAAACTTTACTGTTGCACGTGCAATTATCGGCATATTAGAACAGATATTAGAAGAATTCCAGCTTGCATCAGTTTTTTTTTTTGGAAAAACGCTCAGACCCGTCGATTTTGTTTTCGAGGGGGACACAAGTTTTGCAAAAAATCACGTTAACACGTGCAGCCCCCTGGGCGGCGGTGACACCAACCCCAAAATCTTAAATGGAAAGGGGGTCGAGTGATACCTTATTTTAAAGGTCTTTCAATTCTCTTTATAATGATGTAAAATACATGAGCTTCAGTTCAGTAGTTTTGAAGATTTTTGATTTAAAGCTTAAAGTAGACTTTAATAGGTACATCAGATTAGTTTTGTACTACTTTCAGAAGAAATTTGACTAAAACAATTTAATTAATAAGTAAATGCTTTTCTTCTTTACGCCCATGGTTTGTTTATCATTTTGTTGTTGAAAATAGCTATTGGAGCGTTTTTTTGTGGCAAAAAAGTTATTTCTTGAAGAAAGATAAAGAAATATCTCGTACTTATTTTAAATAGGAATTTAGTACATATATACATTAATTTTAAATCATTATAAAGGGAATTGAAATACCTTTAAAAATAAGGTATCACTCGACCCCCCTTTCGATTTAAGATTTTGGGGGTGGTGTCACCCCCGCTTAGGGGACTGCACGTGCTAACGTGACGTTTTGCCAAACTTGTGTCCCTTTGAACACAAAATCGACGGGTCTGAACGTTTTTCCAAAAAAAAAACTGTGCTGCCAGTAAATGCGTCTGTTTCGTATTCGATGCGCCACCCTGTATGTACTTTGTTAAGTGATTTTGAGACAACGTGCAGAAGAACGCAACTAAGCAAACAGTTCGTCATCATCATCACACATCGATATCTTGTACCCCAAATCGCTGGAAAATCAAAGGTTCTAAATGACATAGAAAATGTAACACCGACTGGGAGTGCTGTAATTTTGAGCATACTTTTACAAGTTTTGGGGGGGAAGTAAAAATCGATACGCAAAACTTCTCCCACAAAACAAGCCTCTCGCCCTGTCTATTCAGTGTTCCGCAATCCCATTAAAACATTAAAAAAATATACCAAAAACCCTATTATTACAACAACGTTGATTTCCACGCCGTAAGATTATGCAAATTCCGCCAAAATTTCAACCTTACCTGAGGCCTGAGGAAATCATCGTAGCACTTGGTCCCTTTAATCCCGATTGCCGGCGTTTGATCTCCATCTTGACCGCTGGCGATTTCGATGCCGCCAACGAAAAAGAACAAAAAAATTACCGGCAAGCGCATCGCAAACACTCCGGTCACATTGACTTTGGTCCTATTTCTAGGATCGTAAAAAACACTGTCACTTAGAGCGCAATATGGTCACTTCTGCGTTTACTGTATTATTTTATGCACTGGTATCGTGAGATCGGGTACGGCGGCGGATGCAAGTCATGTATCAGGTGTTAGGTTGCTTTAGATAACATGGTACATTTTCGAGAAAAGAGTTTAATTCAGATTGTGATTTATGTATGTAATACAAAACGATCACATGTTCGAATTGTACAAACTGCAATGACGGTAATGCGTGTGTGTCGTGTGTGGATAGAAGAAGGTAGAGGAACACGAAGAAGGCATATTATAACACTGTTTCTAGTTTTTTTTTGTCAAATTATTTGAACGATTTTCTTCTAGTAATATAGTAATAATTAGATAGATTCTACGTCAGATTTGGCTAACAAATAGTACAGGGTGGTCATAAAGAGAGAATCATAATTAGATCTTACCTTGAAGACATTTTTTTCAAGTAGAAACTACCTTTTTATAATTTCATCGTATTAAGCACTGAAAATTAGGTTCATTTCATTTACTTTGCAAGTTAGTTGGATATTTGGAAATTTTGGATCATGTTTTGCTCAAATAATCTTTAGGGCTTTTACCAAAAGACAATTTCAGTTGGCCATGTTGTATAGACAGGTAGGTATCGATAAACATACAAATTCAACAACATTTATGATGACTCGTGGACTCAACAAAGTATTAAAACTTGTAGAACTGTTTTTGAGATTTTGAAATGTTTCGGTTTGCGATTTGAAAAATCTGTAAATCTTTTTCAAGGTATAGACAGGCCAAATATTTCGCGAAATTGTTCTCTTTCAATCCACCCGGCTTTAAATTTGAGACAAATTCAATGTACTCCATACGTTAAAAAACTATATTTGCATTATAATCTAGTTTTCCAATGTTTATTAGAGTCAAGAGCAGTTCAGTTCAAAAAACAACACCGGTATTTTTACCACTACCGCACAGTTCCACCGTGATTCACCGACACAGGGTTATCGTAACCCCGAAAATAGCTGCTCACACTCTTTGAATCGCGGCGACGCGCGTAGTCACAAAAATAGTCCCCGGTGTCACTCCCTGTTCCCGATGAAATAAACAGGAGAGACGAGGCACTAGCGACGCTAAGCGGTGCCTGCGTCCGCGATCGGCGCTTCGCGACTGTCTTTTCCGAAAGCGCAGATTGTCTGGCGCACCTTCCGCATAAGCCTCCTACTGAAAGTGTTTTGAGCGATGGGTTAAGGCCCACGTTTGTTTCCCTTGAGGGATGAATGTCGATTGAGGGATGGTCAAGTCTGCCTGCACGAATAATAACACGCCTTTAAGTGATCCTCAAGTGGAGATTTAACACACTGTAACAGTTCCCGTCACGGGTTTTCAGATTTTTCAATTTGGAAACATTGAAAACTGGAAATTTTGAAAATTATAAAAGTTCTTAATATCCTGAAAATTTTAAAACTGAATATTTTAGAAATTCGTGAAATCTTAAAAATTCTGAAAATTTTTGTAGATTCAAAATTTTGGAAATTTAGAAAATTTATAAAACGAGAAAATTTTGAAAATCACTAATTTTTGAAAATTTAGAAAATTAGAAAATTTTGGAAATTCAAATTTTTTAAAAATCGGATATTTCAACAATTTTTGAAATTCTGAAAGCCTTGAAAACTGAGAATTTTGAAAATTATAAAAGTTCTTAATATCCAGAAAATTTTAAAACTGAATATTTTAGAAATTCGTGAAATCTTAAAAATTCTGAAATTTTTGTAGATTCAAAATTTTGGAAATTTAGGAAAATTTAAAAAAACGAGAAAATTTTGAAAATTATAAAAGTTCTTAATATCCAGAAAATTTTAAAACTGAATATTTTAGAAATTCATGAAATCTTAAAAATTCTGGAATTTTTGTAATTCAAAATTTTGGAAATTTTGAAAATTTAAAAAACGAGAAAATTTTGAAAACCACAAATTTTTTGAAAACTTTGGAAATTAGAAAATTTTGGAATTCAAATTTTTTAAAATTTCGGATATTTCAACAATTTGAAATTCTGGAAGCCTTGAAAACTGAGAATTTTGAAAATTATAAAAGTTCTTAATACCCTGAAAATTTAAATCTGAATATTTTGAAAATTTTTAAAATCTTGAAAATTCTGGATTTTTTCAGATTAAAAATTTTGGAAATTGTGAAAATTTTAAAAAATGAGAAATTTGAAAATTACAAATTTTTTGAAAATTTTGGAAATTAGGAAATTGTTGAAATTCCAAATTTTTAAAAATAAAATTTTGGTAATTTCAACAATTTTGAAATTCCGGAAGCCTTGAAAAACTAAGAATTTTGAAAATAATGAAAATTCTTAATAATCCTGAAAATTTTAAAACTGGATGTTTCTAAAATCCTAACTTTTTATAGTATTGAAAAATTTTAAAATCCAGAAAATCTTGAAATTTTTAAAATCCTGTAATTTTTTTAAAATTTTTGGACTGTGGTAATTAAAACATTAAAAAATATTAAAAGAATTCCGGATAATTTAGAGAATTGCGAAATTTTAGAAAATTCGAAAACCTTCAAAACCTTGACCCTTCTGAAAACTGAAAATTTCGGAAATTTTGAGATTTAAAGATTTTCAAAATTTTTAAAATCATGTAAACTTCATAATTTTGAAAATATGATATCAAAATTAGAAAATTTAGAAATTTTGAAAATTATGGTAATTTAAATTTAAAATTTTTTGAAAATATTGAAAATTTTAAAATCCAGATAATCTTGAAATTTTTGAATATACTGTAATTTTTAAAATTTCGGTTATTTCAAAAATTCGAAAATTTCGAAAGTTAACTTTGGTAATTAAACATTAAAAAATGTTTAAAGAATTCCGAACATTTAGAAAATTGCGAAATTTTAGAAAATTCGAAAACCTTGAAAATCTTGAGCCTTCTGAAAACTGAAAATTTCGGAAATTTTGAGATTTAAAGATTTTCAAAATTTTGTAAATTTTATAAACTTCATAATTTTGAAAATATGATGATTTCAAACTTCAAGATTTGGAGAATTTTGAAAATTATGGTTATTCAAATTTGGAAAATTCTGAAAATATGGAAAATTTTTAAAATATTTAAAAGGTCGAATATCCAAAGTTTTGAAAATAACGAAATTTTTGAAAATTTTGGAAATCGACATTATTTTAAAACTCAAATTAAACATTTTTGAAAAATTTAAGTACATTGGAAACTGGAGATTTCAAAATTTTGAAATTTCAAAAATTTCCTGAAATTTAAAAATTCTGAGAATTCTCCAAACTGGATTTTGAAAATTTTTAAAAATTGGAAAGTCTTGTTTGAAATAGGAAACTTGGCTCCAAATGTGCTCCATTAATTTAGTTGTAATTTAGGAATATGCTTTTCTTGAAAATGTCCCGTGTCGCTTTATGGAGGTACAAAACTTTATTTCAAATAAATTGAATTCCTTTCAACACACATCTTTATTGGGTACTACATAGACGTATCCAACATATAACAAAGCTTCATAATCTACACTAACATTCCATCTACACTTATAATATAAAGACAAATTAGTTTTCTTTCCTACAAGACACACTAAGCACAGTATCACAGCTATCATCTCGGTCTGAAGAGGACTTATCAGTGATTTCTTCTCTAACATCAACTTGATCAATACTATCATCTTCCTCAATACTCTCACTAACAATTTCTTTAATCGTTTCTTCTTCGATCGCTTTCTTTCAAGATCGTTTCCAAAGAAGCATATCGTGTCTTCGTCAACCTCAGCATGTTGCTTTTTCAAAGCGCACTTTACTTTGGGTTTAAACTTACCCTCCGATTTTTGCTTCTTACTTTCATCGTTGATAATTTTCTCAGTGCTATCAGTCTTACTAATCTTTATAACAGGTATGTTTTCAGACCATATGGACGACGTTTCCGAATCTTGTCTCTTTCTAGACGAAGTTGCTTCAACTCTGTCCCTTTTCTTTGGCCCAACTTCCTTTTCACCAACTTCGTCATCATTATCGTTCTTTTTAACAACACTAGAATTCCTCTTGATGTCTAACATTCTTTGTGTTAGAGCTTGGAAATCTGAACTGCTGGAGTTGGACTGCTTTAGGGCCTTATGGGGTTTGGTTCCAGAGTCGTATGGTAAGGAATCGTGTTGTTCTGTGTCAGTTTCGTCTTCAACGTTTTGGTCTTCGTCAGATGTTGAAGATTTTCCTAGAGCTCTCTTGATGAGCTTTGAGAAGAAATCTGCAATAGAAAACGCTCTTATTAGTCTCAGCATAGGTACTTTGAAGTATTCCACCAGAAGAGAAGAAGATCATCAGGATCAAGAGGAAGTTGGCATCTATCAGGCTGCACCATTTAAATTTAGCTAAAACCGATTCAGTGCTTTCTGAAATTACGTCGACGAAAACTGTATTACCTTTATTTCTGCTCTCAGGCTTTTCTTCTTTGGGTGGAGTAACCTCATCGGTATCTTGCTTAGGCGTTTCATCAAAACTTCTAGCGTTTGGCAGATTATTAAGTAGCTTTTTCCATTTGTTAAACGGAGCATTTGGCAGATCTGTAGATTCTCCTGAACCTCCTTTTCGCCTTCTATCTGCAATTTGGAACATTTTTCGTCGCTCTTCCGTCCTTTCTTTACGCAGCTGAATCTACAAAATGGGAATATGTTTTCATTTATAGCAACATGATCCATTGTCACTAACATAGATACATGCTATAGCAAATAGCTAAGATTTACCTTCAATTCTTCGTTGGCGTTCCTTAGAGCGTTTGTCAAAGACACCAGGTAGTATATAATAAGTATCAACAAAACTAGCAACGGTATCACGATGCCTGGTGAAGCGATGTAGTCCAACACCTTCTGTAGTGATACAGGAACGGTGTTTCTGATCGTTTAGTGAATATGTGGAAGATCCTTTCGTACTGAGAAAATGGTCCGCAATGCCAAGACGGCTTGATCCAAACTATTGCATAGCCTACTGGCAGGACGCAGAGGAACAACATCATCAGTAGTAGTGCGTAATAAAAGTTGTTGGACCTGGAACAGTTTTATTGGGTGCTACAGCAATCTTTAGGTATCTGCAATTAGGGAGAAAACTCGTATCATGTTTGTTATCTCGTTTCTTACCTAGAAGCTCTAAATATGACCTCTGGAGGTGCATTGCAGGTCAACACAGCCCACGTTCTGAAATACATCATAATGTACAGCTTGATGACATTTAAAAGCACTAGACCTGGAGAAAAGAACATTCCCATCCACACCATTCCTTGATTGTTCACTAGAGAAAGTATATTTTCTGCCACTTTGAAGTCTCCATATTGAGGAAACTTCTTCTCCAGGTCCCAGCACCAACACCTGCGGAGCAGTTGAGTCTTTTTATCAACAGATTCGATGCCAACATTTCCGTATTTTTTAGCTACCTGGTTTTTGGCCAAGTCAGCATAGGAAGGTACTTATACAATGTAGGAAACTTACCTGTTCATAAACCTGACAAACAGCCCTCTAAAAAAATCGATAGCTAATGTCGGGAATATTGTCATGATCAGATCCATAACAGTCAATTTGATCAGTTCTTGCCCAAACATTGTCTCCCAACATAAGCTTCTGAGTCTAGCTCTCATGGAATAATTGAGACTAGTTTCGACTATTGCAGTAGTTGTAGTTACTTCATATGTCAAATTGAGATCCGTACCGTCATTGTATGATCCGAAAAATGTTGTGTCATTCTCTGCAGACACAGCGTTACATATTTCCTTACATCTTGGGCTCAAAGTCGTCAAATCAGATACGTTGCTTACAGCGTTGGTAACGTTTTCAAATATTGTCGATAAAGTAGCATCAATATCAAACCTGTCGTCAGATATGTCTGTCAGGTTTGTAAAGTTTAAAAGTACTGGTAGCATAGTTGTTTTAAATAACTCGTAGTCTGTCGCATTTAGTAAAGAATCAGTTGCGTTGAAGGAGTAGTCAGTAAAGTTGGTGGTATTGTTTTCATATACATTTGTAGTTATTGTGTTGTTTTCAATATTGAATTGGTCTAAAATGTTTGTGAGATAATCCAAGAAAAATTCTTTCAAACTGAAGAACACGTCGCTGGGAAAATATTCTTCTGTAGCATTATCAAAACTTGTAGAAATACTATTGACGGTAGAGTTCAGATAGTCAGTGACATTCTGAACGTTAATTTCTGTGACCAGGTCTAAAAAGGTAGACAAGACACCATGCGAGATGTTGTTGGCAAGGTCATAGACTAAATTATCTCCATGCATAAACTGGGTATCTGAATCATTGCAGACTAAGTAGCATTCTGTCACAGGTGAATATGATGGAGTTGTAGATGTAGAAGTACTGATAATAGCTGTCGTAGTATGCAAAGTTGAAGTTTGGATGGAAGAAAGCTTATTTGCGGCTCTGGCTGCTTTCATTTCCATTGTGATATTTTTGAACTCTTCCAACTCTTCTGCCTGAAAAATCAGGGTGTCAGTATCGGAGTAAATGAAGCACTATTGTTCGTTTCTACTTACCATGTCACTAATCTTGTCAATCAGTGCGAATATAAGCGAATATAGATTCAAGAGATTCAGTACCATGATTCTGGAAGAAAAATCATATTAGTATACGAGATTTTTCGAGGGTCGGGACTTTCTGTTTAAGAAACAACTACGCATGTGATAACAAAGCTATTGCTTATACAGGGTTTGTCCGGAATGTAATAGGACTCATTTTCTTCCGCTAGATGAAAACATCCAAGACGCAACCTGAATACACACATGAAGCAGCAGCAGGATCTTGAAGTCGTCTTATCACTTTAGGAACGTTCCATTGTCGATCTTTTCGAATCCGATTTATAAACAAAGAGCTTGAAATATAGTGGGTTGTGACCACCGTCCACATAAGTATTATATTGTTATTTGATACCTAGCCAACTGTAGCCTCAACTGCTTCCTCGGATGATACTGCTCGACAAATCCAAGAACTTCAAATAGCATAGGGAATACCAAGGTTATCAGTGACATAATGATAGTGATTTCATTTTTTCTCCAAAATGTGCTGTTTGCTTCTGGTTCGGTGGATCGTTTCACTACCATTACTACAGCAAAAACTGAGAATGATAGCAAGCCTATCACAACTGTGTTACCAGTACCCTGAAGCATATCACTTTCCAACTACAAAGCAAAATGTTAATATATTAGAAAAAAATAGAATGTAAAATTATTTTCCTATAGGCATTGATCAACGTACTCCCCAAGAAGTGAATATTCTCCTTAGAAGTGATAAGGACTATATCCATTTTCATTTTGAAGAAAATTGTTTATTTTGCAATATGAGATCAACCTTGACCACAATTTCCCTAATAATTATTCTTAAGATTTCTTATATCAGTCTTAACAGTGGTGGAGACGTATGTAGTTGTTTTTTTTGTTTTTCTGTTGAATTCAGTATCTTTTGGTGGAGTACGTTGATCAGTGCTATCAATCATACTTTCTTTTGTCCCTTTTCTTCTCAGCCTCCTCCAATAATGCCTCTTTGAATCCCATAATGATTGAGGCTACTCTGTTATGAGCTGTCTCTGCGTTGCCGATCATATAATCCCAAGCAGTAAACAATTTCCATGAAAAAACGTATTCGTCGTCCTTCTCCGATAACTTTGACATACGAGAATTTTCTGCCATCCTGAAAAAATATACTGGTGAATGGAAATTTGGAAAACAAACTTCAAATACTACAGATCGAAAAAATAAGATTTTTAAGATCTTACAGATCCAGAAGACTGAAACGTAGAACAAACAATTGCAATGGAGTATTTTAAAAAATGTTCTAGTTTTGAATTTTTCTTCTGTAATTTAAAAATTTTAAAAACTAAAAATATGTAATTTTAGATTAGATAGTAGATATATTTGTCCTTAAGGCTTCAGAATGATAAAGTATTTTGTATATAAAGTGCTCTAGCCACTGTTCGCTCTCAGGCAACGCGACAAATTTTTACCAGAACAGCTGAGAATAGGTCATCCGTGCCCCGGTGATGTAACAATTGCAGGTCAATGTAATTTATTGAATATAAATAACGAGTTATAGAGTGACAACAATAGAGCTGAGGTCATTGAGGTGTGAAATAACAAATAGATCTACGAAGCCTCAGATATTAATGAAAAAACGTATTTTGAAATTTGCTTAAAGCATTGTTTGAATAATTGTTGATGCATTATCGGGCCTGACATCACCCAGATTCGTTGAAAGGGGTCCTTTTTGTGTAAGATTATGCTAAAAATAAAATCAAGATATTTCCCAGCAGATGCGAAGATACTCCCTAGACCAAGCGTAAAGTGCATACATTTCTTAAGTTCTGTACCACCGTGTATACAGTCTGAAAAAGTAGTTTGATTATATCGTTCAACAATATGCTTCCTTCCACCTAAATCTGACCTGTCAAACTGACAACTCATTTATCCCTCAAATGTCTTCTGGTATACTCAAATTTTAGTTGCAAAAGTAAAAAATACCCAGTCATGGACAAACTGGCAAACAGGATTCATAAAGGCTTCGTATGCACTTGCATTGCTGTAACACTGTACGGTATGTCAGCCATAGGGCTGACGGTTTTTACCAAGCCTCGAATCAGGCTGCCGGAAATTCAAGCTGGCTTCCAACCGGAGGAAAAAGAATTGATGGATTCTGCTCCCATCCTCACCACATGAAGAAAATATCTAACATGTCCCTATTCTGATAATATAAAAAGGTAATATATCGCTATTTACATTCAGGTATTACAGTTGCGTAGTGGCAATATTTGGTTGCCTATCAAACATACTTTCAAGGTCACTCATTTGAATTTTTTTATAAAGTTATGTCAGTCATTTTCCTGTTGAGGTTATGGTGTATCGGTCCTTCGTTTTTCAGATTTTGGGGTATTAGGCCCCAATCACCAGTTTATGGAGTAGCACCTTTTTTCGTACTTACCTTACGTTTAGTTGTTTTGGTTGTTGTTTGGATCACTTGTATATCAAAAGCTATGAGCTTTAGGAAAAAGTTCTATCTCACTTTTTTGTTCATAATGCCCCAAAAAACCTAGGAATACTCTCACCAGCGCGAAAATAGACATGTAGATTCATTTAATAAAACTCTTTTAGAATAAAATTATCCGAATCAGAATATTTTCTCATCAGATGCGACTGTCGCCGTCCCAATACTTACTTTCTCAGAGTAGCCCAAAAGCTGTAAGCGTACACCATAAGCCCAGTCACAAAATAAGCAAACGGAAGTCTGTACCCTCCTGCATTAGGATCGCTGTTCGTGTACCAACCGTAAAAAAGCGGGGAGTATTTCAACACGCCCTCAAACTCCCAAAGAGTCATAAAGTTCGTTGCGTTGTATCGTTCTTCTTTCAGGATGAATTTTCGGCTGCCTGCGGCTTTTGGGTCTGCCACTAGCATCTGAAAAAATGCTTTTGTATGTTTGGTGTTTTTAAATGGAAACATTCGTCTAGACGGGTAATGTTTAAACAGCGAACAACGAAAGACTTTTTAAAATAGCTACTTTATTTAACAAAAGACGAAAGAGTACTAGTCACATTGTTTTCATAATCTAGGGTGGATCGGAAAAATACAAGGTGCAAACCTAAGCATCTCTACATATTGTAGCGTTTTTCTGGGCGTGGATTGGGTGTGAATTAAATCACTGGATTCCACAAAAAGAAATGCACTAATTTATTTAACTTGATACAACATTTATATACACCACCATTTATGTCTGACTAATTCTTATGTCGCCATTGACTGCACTATACTCCACTCCGCTCTGCTACTCTACCGTATTCAGTACTCTGTACTCTACTTCCATCTCCCGGCCGCCGAGTTATATAGTCCGCATTGCTGCTTCGAGAAAGGTCTGGTGAACCACAAAGCGACATCTAGAATATTCTCTTCGCGTCGATCTAGAAGGCGATCCATTGTCACAATAATCATAAACAAGCAGAGGTAAATCATAGCAGTTGCTCAACATTTTTCTGTTATTTTGTAGGCAAAGCTGACTTTCCGCTGTACATTGTTCGATTTATTTCTCTTCTCAGTCTTCCAAACACTGTTACTATGTTCAATTTGAGGTCTGGTCTGGATACCAAACAAAGACTATCTAAAATTTCAAGGCATACCTGCTTTTCTGGAAGAACACGAATAAATATGTTCTTGATTCTGGTCGAACATTCTCGTGCCTCGAGAAATAAGAAATGTGGAGAAGCGAAAAGCTCAAGTGATGATGCTGCCGTACTAAACTGTAAGCTCATTGTGTCAGCCTCACTCCAGTGAACAAGGATGCTGTCGTTCAATTGTCGAAAACAATGTCTCTCGGTAATGCCGGGAAAGCTGCTCCGTCTCTCGTTATCCTGATAAATCCTCCGAGAGCTGCCAAATTAGATATGTTTGGGAACGATCCTGTTTCGAACGCTTTGTTGGATAACCATAGGGATATCGAGTCGAGGCGGGATAGGAAATACAGAACAGTATAGCTAAACAGTAGTTACACCAAGAAAAGACAGTGAAGGCCGTCTGTCCCGATGTATGTGAAAAATTATCATGGAAAGAAAATTATAAAGAATTAATTCCTTACAAATTGTTCTTATTTTTTTACGCAGCAAAAAGGTCTGCAGGGTTTTCGATTAAACGCGATTATCAATTCGAACTAATCATTAGGAAGCAATAAATAACATAACGATAGCACCAAAAAGAATGCTGCCTCGAAAATTGTAGAAAAATTCCTTAAGACTCCTAAAACTCCCAAGACACCTGAAACTGATGAGACTCCCAAAACTCCAAAAACACTTACAACTCCTTTATCTCCTAAGACTCCTTAATCAGCAAAATGCAAATAACTCATAAAGCTCCTGAAACTGCGAAAAACCTGTCGAAACTTCTGAGAACTTCCTAGAACTCATAACACTCATAAACCCTATAAAAATCATGACTCATGAAAGTCCTAAAAGTCGTAAGAGTCGTAAATTCGTGAAAGTCGTAAAAGTCGTAAAAGTCGTAAAAGTCGTAAAAGTCGTAAAAGTCGTAAAAGTCGTAAAAGTCGTAAAAGTCGTAAACGTCGTAAAAGTCGTAAAAGTCGTAAAGTCGCTAAAAAGTCGTAAAAGTCGTAAAAGTCGTAAAAGTCTAAAGTCGTAAATTCGTAAAGTCGTAAAAGTCGTAAAAGTCGTAAAAGTCGTAAAAGTCGTAAAAGTCGTAAAGTCGTAAAAGTCGTAAAAGTCGTAAAAGTCGTAAAAGTCGTAAAAGTCGTAAAAGTCGTAAAAGTCGTAAAGTCGTAAACGTCGTAAAGTCGTAAAAGTCGTAAAAGTCGTAAAAGTCGTAAAAGTCGTAAAAGTCGTAAAAGTCGTAAAAGTCGTAAAGTCGTAAAAGTCGTAAAAGTCGTAAAAGTCGTAAAAGTCGTAAAAGTCGTAAAAGTCGTAAAAGTCGTAAAGTCGTAAAAGTCGTAAAAGTCGTAAAAGTCGTAAAAGTCGTAAAAGTCGTAAAGTCGTAAAAGAGTCGTAAAAGTCGTAAAAGTCGTAAAGTCGTAAAAGTCGTAAAAGTCGTAAAAGTCGTAAAAGTCGTAAAAGTCGTAAAAGTCGTAAAAGTCGTAAAAGTCGTAAAAGTCGTAAAAGTCGTAAAAGTCGTAAAGTCGTAAAAGTCATAAAAGTCATAAAGTCATAAAAGTCATAAAAGTCATAAAGTCATAAAAGTCATAAAAGTCATAAAAGTCATAAAAGTCATAAAAGTCATAAAAGTCATAAAAGTCATAAAGTCATAAAAGTCATAAAAGTCATAAAAGTCATAAAAGTCATAAAAGTCATAAAAGTCATAAAAGTCATAAAAGTCATAAAAGTCATAAAAGTCATAAAAGTCATAAAGTCATAAAGTCATAAAAGTCATAAAAGTCATAAAAGTCATAAAAGTCATAAAAGTCATAAAAGTCATAAAAGTCATAAAAGTCATAAAAGTCATAAAAGTCATAAAAGTCATAAAAGTCATAAAAGTCATAAAAGTCATAAAAGTCATAAAAGTCATAAAAGTCATAAAAGTCATAAAAGTCATAAAAGTCATAAAAGTCATAAAAGTCATAAAAGTCATAAAAGTCATAAAAGTCATAAAAGTCATAAAAGTCATAAAAGTCATAAAAGTCATAAAAGTCATAAAAGTCATAAAAGTCATAAAAGTCATAAAAGTTATAAAAGTTATAAAAGTCATAAAAGTCATAAAAGTCATAAAAGTCATAAAAGTCATAAAAGTCATAAAAGTCATAAAAGTCATAAAAGTCATAAAAGTCATAAAAGTCATAAAAGTCATAAAAGTCATAAAAGTCATAAAAGTCATAAAAGTCATAAAAGTCATAAAAGTCATAAAAGTCATAAAGTCATAAAGTCATAAGTCATAAGTCATAAGTCATAAGTCATAAGTCATAAGTCATAAGTCATAAGTCATAAGTCATAAGTCATAAGTCATAAGTCATAAGTCATAAGTCATAAGTCATAAGTCATAAGTCATAAGTCATAAGTCATAAGTCATAAGTCATAAGTCATAAGTCATAAGTCATAAAAGTCATAAAAGTCATAAAAGTCATAAAAGTCATAAAAGTCATAAAAGTCATAAAAGTCATAAAAGTCATAAAAGTCATAAAAGTCATAAAAGTCATAAAAGTCATAAAAGTCATAAAAGTCATAAAAGTCATAAAAGTCATAAAAGTCATAAAAGTCATAAAAGTCATAAAAGTCATAAAAGTCATAAAAGTCATAAAGTCATAAAAGTCATAAAAGTCATAAAAGTCATAAAGTAATAAAGGTAATAAAGGTAATAAAGGTAATAAAAGTCATAAAAGTCATAAAAGTCGTAAAAGTCGGAAAAGTCGTAAAAGTCGTAAAAGTCGTAAAAGTCGTAAAAGTCGTAAAAGTCGTAAAAGTCGTAAAAGTCGTAAAAGTCGTAAAAGTAATAAAGTAATAAAAGTCATAAAGTCATAAAGTCATAAAAGTCATAAAAGTCATAAAAGTCATAAAGTCATAAAAGTCATAAAAGTCATAAAAGTCATAAAAGTCATAAAGTCATAAAAGTCATAAAAGTCATAAAAGTCATAAAAGTCATAAAAGTCATAAAAGTCATAAAAGTCATAAAAGTCATAAAGTCATAAAGTCATAAAAGTCATAAAAGTCATAAAAGTCATAAAAGTCATAAAAGTCATAAAAGTCATAAAAGTCATAAAAGTCATAAAAGTCATAAAAGTCATAAAAGTCATAAAAGTCATAAAAGTCATAAAAGTCATAAAAGTCATAAAGTCATAAAAGTCATAAAAGTCATAAAAGTCATAAAAGTCATAAAAGTCATAAAAGTCATAAAAGTCATAAAAGTCAGAAAAGTCATAAAAGTCATAAAAGTCATAAAAGTCATAAAAGTCATAAAAGTCATAAAAGTCATAAAAGTCATAAAAGTCATAAAAGTCATAAAAGTCATAAAAGTCATAAAAGTCATAAAAGTCATAAAAGTCATAAAAGTCATAAAAGTCATAAAAGTCATAAAAGTCATAAAGGTCATAAAAGTCATAAAAGTCATAAGTCACAAGTCACAAGTCACAAGTCACAAGTCATAAGTCATAAGTCATAAGTCATAAGTCATAAAAGTCATAAAAGTCATAAAAGTCATAAAGTCATAAAAGTCATAAAAGTCATAAAAGTCATAAA